AGAGTATGCGCAGAATTTGTCATTGCGAGTACTGTCGTTGCATTCATTTTCTTCCTTCAAGGAGGCACAGTCATTGTTCAAAAAGTCTCTTTAATTCCAATAATATAATATAATAAAGCCCATTGTTTTCTTAGAAAATTGTTTCTTTATTCAGGTATAAGTTGCAACTATTACAAGAAGTTTATTTGGTCACTAAAGTTATTTGAATCATCGAGTAAAATTCAATGGGCGCGTCTTAATCTCCCGTTTTAATTCTAGTGGCTACTAAGGAACTAGGAGCTCACCTACTTGAGTTTAAAACGGTTAGTCGAGCACGTGGATCCTATCGGGTCGTAATGATAGTTATTTATGTCTACCGCGGGCACATGCATCTCGGCGCAGATCTGGAGGTAACGGTATTGCAGTTGCGTCGCTCCGCCACTACTCTGCAGTGCATTTCTACTTCCTATTTCCTTTACATATATTTTGTACCAAGCTTTTCCAGTCGTTGGTTCTCTGTGTTTAACGCACTTCCTACATTTTAAGTAGTCTATTGACGATGCATGATAATTGTACATTTGTTGCATTACCACGAGAAACCCGTGCACGTTTTGACATAATATCATGTGAAAATTCAGTAATATTATTATCACACTTTACTAATAAGTAATGTAATAAAAGAAATCCAAATACGCCTCCAATCGTTTAGCTTTAGCTAATAGATGTAATGTTTTTTGGCATAAAATTTTACCATTTCATTTTAAAATGTCTATATTTCGCCGTTATCAATTCTAGTCCATTAACGACTGTTAAAATTTTATTTTATTTCATCACGATTAGCGTGATTGAATTTTTGTTTGGGTTTAAGTAAAACACAGCGCAATGCTTTTGAAATTTCAATTAACCTTTCATGAATGGTCAGTTATTAACTATTAGGTTATTATAACTGGAATTAATATTTCATAATGTTCTATCTGTACTTAGATTACGTGAATTTTATAGATTGCCTTTTTTGCTGCATCTGAAGCGTATAATAATGGTCTTCTGAGTGCCGAGACAAGTGAGGTCCGTTATGAGGAACCCATTTGCACTTATTTCTCGATCGCCATGAGCTATTCACATACCATCCATGCAAATGTTTTTTTGAACGCACCAATTCCGTCTTCAATGGTCCGTTGTTGATTACTGAGGCGGGCAATTGCCGATTGCCTTGACTGTAGAATGTACAGCTAGGTGCATTATCCCTAAAATGCAACTATCAATTGACCCAATTTGATAATAAAAGTGAATGGCGGTTTAGCTAATGTCTACGAATTCTTTTTATAATTTCGCACATATAACCAAAATACAGTCGTAACTCAAAATTGTGGAATTAAGAAAACTATTTGAAAATTCAAGAAAAAAATATTTAATCCATTCAAACTTATTACGTACAATGTGATAATTTTTATTTATATCTATTACTTAATTGTCCATTCATAATTAAGAATATATATTTATTGGTTTCATCATTAATTTTTTTTCTCAATTTTCATGTGCGATTTATGAATTAAGTAGACATACAAAATTGTCTGGCCTCTATGCAAAAAAAAAAGTTGGAATAATTAAGCTGGTATAAACAAGAGCCTGCAAAGAGGAGTGGATTAGGGAAGGCCTGCCTTGAAGTTCGATAATTACAAAAGATAGATAAAGTAACGTAAACATGAATGATTATTTTCGGAAGTATTAGTCAATTATCAAACTCCGTTTTTATGTTAGGTATCGTGAGTACAGACAGAAGGTCGGTTTCTAAACGATTAGATATTATATTGACCTTATGCGTAATTGTTGAGGTCGTTATGTTTAATCGGCAGTTCTCATGATCTTTTTTTAAGTTATCAACACCACACGGGAGTTCTTGCTTGAAATGAAATTGAAAACATGCGTGTTGTTAAATGAAGAACTATCCCACGAAATTGTTGTACCGTAATAGGATTATTAAAGTTTTTTAAGAAGTGATAGCATCTAACAATTGTTTGAGGTGTGCAAATATTGTGTATATTCGCAGTATTTTTTATCTTTTAAATATTGCTTTTAGTGTTGTTTTCTTTTTTCAATTTGGCAATCTGTAAAGCATTTTCGTGAAATGTCCTTCAATTTAACAGTTGGTTATATGCGTCTAAATTGATCGTCGAATTGTTCTTTTCTGGCATTCGTCAAGCATTCGCTATTATTTTTTAAATTGTTCATTGATTGGCTCGTCGAGGCTACGGCACTCGGTTACAAGCACTTGCACAATCGTCGCAGTAACAAGTGCCGGCCTTTACCTCCCTATGGTCGGAATCAATTTGCTCTATGATGGGGCGATAGCATCGGGCCTCTCAAATATTTTCAACCTTCGCTCTTGCACCACTCATGATTTAAACTGCAAGATATTATCTACTACGATTTACTGTAATTGCCGTTACGATCTGCTCTCGACTTTACCGCATTTTTCAAATAGGTAATATCGATATCAATATACCTTCAATATAGCTTAGTATAGTGACTTTTCGCGAGGGAAATCTTCTGGGTACTAGTACGTTTACTGTGTCAATTATGATCAATTATCGTAGTTTTTCAAATACCGTTGCAAAGATTTGCAAACTTCATTTCCTATATTTATTTATTTTAGTTTATCTAGAGTTGGGTTAACAGGCCTTCGCATTTCACATGTGGCGGACTTCCTGTTATCGATATGATTGATGGATGTTATTGTTATAGCATGAATGTGAGATGAGAACGTTGAATAAATGCGGAATCGTCGACACCTCGGTGTGACAACGTAATTACAAGATGTGATAATTGATTCGCTAATTTTGCAAACGACTTTTTGTGCTTCAGTTTTTCATTTAGATGCATGTTATGGCACGCGATGCATTGCAGCACCTACTCTCTAGTTTGAAAGTACGATACAGTGAACGAGATGTCTTTTTTGTGCCAGTTATGGAAACGAGATAGCCCAAAGTGCGATGTAATTAGCTCTATCATTACTGGTTCTTGCTGCACGGAGTCGTGATGAGACATTCTGTCACCGCGATATTGAGCAAACTTAACCACCACCAAGACGTGATTTTCGTAATTTTTGAATCTATTCAATGGCAAAAATCTAATCTGACAATTTGTAGTTGACTCATTTTGTTGTTTCTTGAAATAACCCGAATAAGATGCGACTTTTTGGTTTAATTTAAAATTTGACATTAATGTCGGGCAATGTTCGAGCGAAATGCCCGCAGTTTAGCGATCCCGTTAGACTAGGTATCACGATCGGGCTAGTTTATTGGAAAGTGAGTTGCATGGACCGTGGCCGGTGGTCGAGTACGCTGTACCCACCTTTCAGCAGTAGGAAGAGAAGGCTAAATACGACAACGGTTGCAGTGCCCACTGGAATGTTGATTAAGAGTGTGCAATTACTTATTAATTGGTTGCTTTCTCGGAATCTGTTATCTTTTGTTGTATGATGGATTGATGATGCGGTTAAGCTCCAGTTGGTATACTTTAGCATAACGCTTGTGATGTAACTTTGTGTTCCTTTTTTAGCTTTACTATTGTTTGACAAGACGTTTCTTACTTCCGCTGTTGACGTCTCTATAAATGTAAATCTCATCACACCATGAATTTGATTTTTTAAGTGAAATGTACTTTGCGAATTTTTGTAATACCGTTCCTCCACTTTCTTGTACTTGTTTGTTAGTTGGTAATGTTTATTTTGAACCCAGTTTCTGACTGCTCATAACTTGTAATCGATACAAAGGTGCAAAGGCACCGTTACTCTCTCTGTATCGCCTGTACAGCTGTATGCGGTGACCGTAGATTAGCTCTTCTCTGGCAATTGTATCTATTTCATGACGTTCGTTAAATATATTTCATGACATGCTCTTTTTTTAATGAAGAACCACACTATAATAAATTACCGGTTTATTTGACTTGTAATTTGTGTTAAGTACGGACTCAACCGTCAAATTACAAGGTCATAATATAATATTCACAAGTCACCCTGTAAAAGTATGTTAATAATTTCCGCAGACGCTTTCGACGGAAAAATGCTTTGTATTTGTATATAGTCTTCCGATAAATATTAAAAACTTGCGTGCCGTTCTTGGCGTGCTTAAAGTGTATTTAGTACAGTTCGTAGATTTCTATATGCATCAATACATTAGGTGTTTCGTTGCACGTGGCCATGACACGGCAGGCTTGTAATGGTCAAGTGACACAAATCTCTAACACACTTCTGCTTGTTGACCATAGAGACATGTTAATATGCGCTGCAAGTCGTTTCTCAGCTCTGGTACAGATTCTCAATTGGTATTTTGTTTGATCTCCCATGCAGCTTTCAACGTTTTTATATGTTTCCTATTTGAACCTCCTGTGTTTTCGAGAAGATGTATTAACGGTTAGTCTGTTTTATATTTGCTGACCTCAATAACCGCAGGTCTGTGTCGTGTTGCCCAATTATTCATGGTTTACTTATGTGTACTGTACTTAATATAGAATTCAGACAATCTAATAATGTAATGATGAAAGCGGTTTACAACACTACACACACTTTACCAGTTATCAACTGAGGTATTTTTCAAAAACGTGCTTTACGTTTGTTTTCGTTTTTCAGCAACAGAATTAAGCAATAAAATATCATTGTGTTGGTAGTGCGACTCATGCCACCATTAACCAAGTTAATACTATTTCATTAAGGCAACATATATTCCAAAAGTATTTTCTAGTTGCGTACATAATTGAAGTAATTGTAGGTCTATCACAGGTTTCGTAATTACCAATTTGTCAACGCCCTCTGGTATTTGGATGTTACAATTGTATGATGTGCGTGTGTAGGAAGAGATTGCTTAGTTAGATAATCAGTACTGATGGTTACACGTTAGTGTATCGGTGTGGTGCATTGGGAGGGCAGGTGAGTTAGGGACACAGCGGCGGAGATGTGCGCCGGAGCAAACACTTTCACTCTCGGCGGTGCGACAGCAGTCTCGGCGACTGGCAACCTGGGAGCCCGCCACAGTGCCGCCGCGCAGCCGCCGCCGCTGGTCGCACCGCATGATCCTCCGCGAATCTCTGCAAGTGATCGCCACCCCATGTCAATTGCACGCTTCGTTGCGTCTTTGCTCGCGTGGTCGTCGCTCAGATGAGTATCGACATCGACTTGTGAAAAAACATTCATCTATTTTTAAACATTGTGTTCTTTCAGCTCAGTGATGTTTTGCGAATTAACGTCGCTGCATGACATGACAGCCTGGTGTTTTTAAATTATTCGATATATCTTTTTAGTGCAGTGACAATCGAGCGGCAACGGCTGACACACTGGTTAGCAACGTTATTGGCGGTGTAAATAATGTGAAAAAGTGAGAATCGAACTTTGTGTGACCAAAATTGAACTGTATAGAGAAAGTCTTAAATTCCGATGTTCAAGTTTTCGCTAGTGTAAATATTTATCGAAACTTGATTGCATAACTTCGTTCAAATAGTGATTTATCTACCCATCTAAATTGTCTACCTACTAGTGTATTTGTATGATATCCAGTGTTTTGAAATGAATAATGGATGAAGCGTAATTAATGGTTGTGAACTTACGAACTTAAATCGGTATTACCATCTGGTTTGGTCAGATCAGTTTTGTTACGTTCCAATTTGTAATGCCAAGGTTGAAGCAGCCTGTGCCAGACAGTCGACAAAGCCGGCGATGCGCACACGACTTACGTCGCGACGCTCACTGTAAATAAATAATGACCTAATTGTATGTACTACCTTACGTATTCGCTATTTCTGATTTTAGCTGACAGAGATTTACAACAGCATAAAGTTAAGTCTCCACGAACCAGTCTCACACACCGACAATTGCACAATTTGCATCAAAACACTATAGAGAGAAACTAGCGAAGTGCAGTAACTACTTTCGAAGATTTCTCCAGGGCTCTCCCTTTCTCCTAACAAGTAGCATCTGAGTTGGGTTACTATGGAAAATTGACCAGAACTCGATTAGAACTCGTTTTAAGAGAAACACGGTAATAATGAATTCAATTAATTGTATAGTCGAATAATAATGTGAGGTAGATAAATGCGAATTGCTGTAAAAACTGACAAGTCGGTTAATTATAAGTTATAATTAATCGATTATTATAAGTTATAGCTAATTATAACAATCGATCAAGATGCCACATTACGATGAAACTTTCATCCATGATGACAATCTGAACCAAAGGAGGAACAAACGGAGTTACCGTGTTTACAAAACAGGCTTGAGTCCATTGCATCTGTTAGAGCGCAGTGCGTTGGCTCTTGAAGAAAGAGGAACTTCCGTCATCAAACGTAACATTAAGAATATTAAACATCGAAACAACCGCGACAAATCTGAGCCTCCTCCGCAGCTTAAAAACAGTCCAGCGAAGTATAAAACACCGGATATAATAGTGGATCATTGTCCGCGCCTCAGTGTTTACTACCCCAATAAATATAATGACATCCGTAACAACAATGTCCAGCCACTGTCTCCTTGTAAGAGTTTCGACAATCTTGTATTGTATCAGACTAAACAGAAAGTGTTTGGCAGGGACAGTTTAAGGAATGGGATTAGTCTTCAAAATTTGGCAGATGAGGAAAACTTAAAGCATTATTCATCGCCCTCTGAAGACTACCTGACAACAGTCCGTAGAGACGACATTAGCAACTCGTATTCAGTGCTACATGCTAAACGGCGGCCGATGCAGAGATGTTTCTCACGGGTCACAGCAACGCCGGGGGTTGGTGTATATCGACAAATTCCCTGCGATGGAGAAACCGGCAAAGATGATCACGGTATGCAGTTATTCTTGAAACTTAATTTATCATGTCAGCTTTAATATGCTAAAATAACCACAACAAGCAATCTGTGCAATGTTGTCAATTGAACATTGTAATACAAACACTAATAAGTTTTAAACAATAAACTATTTGTACGTGACATCTATATCAATCTAACAAGACATGTGTAACATGATAAAAAGTTTCATTGTCGTATTGCAAAATTGAAAGTAGTAACTAGTTCGCGCGTTCTATTTTGATGCAATGAGTCGGAAGAAAGACTTTCTGTCTTCCCCGTCCGCTTCAATGTTACGTAGTAAAAAGCTAGTAAGTCTAATGAAACGCCTGATCTTGTATAACAAGACGTAAGAGACGCGGGAACCCCATTGTGCTCTCATTGTTACGATAATGTTAAGGCCGCACACAAAAACATATAAATGGCAACTCCACGCTCATAGTAATTTGTTTGTGATTTCACAATTAATTTTTACTCAAAGATTCTGATCTAACACTTAATTTCCGGTGTTAAAAAATAATTCATGGTCAGTGCGAGATCATAGATAAATTTAAGATAATGTAACTTTAATCTCGTATACAGTTTTATGTTCATAGAAATACGTGTAAATGGTTAAAAACTTCATTTATATTTTTAGGTGTCGCTCTGATTACTCCGGTAGCAAATAATGCAAACACGACCGCGAAGGTTATGAATATTTAATGTATCACGAACATAATCAAGCTATTTTTGATTTCAATGTCATTGTTACGATATTACTATTCTATAATAACAGCTTCCTTCGTCCTATTTGTATAGGGAGCGGATTGGTGGCGACATGGGACACGAAAGCTGAATGCTAAGTAGGCTTTAATATGGAGTGTGCTTAAGTTATGATGTGCATGACGCACTCGTGACCCGCGCAGCGACCGCCATCCGTCGCGGTCAACCGTCGCCAGTCTCCGTGTGCCTCGGGCGCGTCCTGCTGTCGCCTTTGCGTGTATTTATAAACTCGCGCGTCATTACTGATATAAAACATTAAATCAGTGTTCCCCACAATCCTGTTCTAGAGACAATCTTGTTTTATTCATAAACAAACTGTTCCGAAAACCGGTTAAAACATTCACACGAAATTAGAAGTTGTTTTGCAGTGAGTACATAATATTTGTGCGACGAAATCGGTTACCTCGTTATTGTTCAGTGCGAATGTAATCATAACTTGAATCATAAACTGGATTTCTCTGAGCGGAGACGAGGCCAACAAAAACATTGTTATTGACATAACTCAACCTATTTTGAGAACAAGGTATAGTACTGAAATAAAACTTGGTTTAATTTAACATCTCTAGGCATTTAAAAGTTAATTCTAAATTGGGGATTTCAGAGGAAGGTTTTACTTACTTATTTGAAGTTTATGTAAATATACTCTGCCTGTTGGCATCTCTTATTAACAACAACAACATTTTTTGTAATGTTGTGTGGTTTGTTATAAATTCAATCAAAATCAGACCTTTTTAAAATGCTATGGAATATCACGAGCATTCCTTAAAGGTAGAGAGAGGCCGACTGTTCATTAAGGTTTGGTATTTGTCAACTTTTCCTTATTTGTATTCTCAGTAAGTGAAACCAAAGAATTTATTGAAATTTTTTTATAGTAACCTAGTAGAGAGTGCAACAATTACCTCATGCTACACAGTAATGCGTCCTTCTTTGTTTTTTAATATGATTTACACGTGTTCTGTGTTAGGTGGTCCGAGATATTATGTACACACGCCAGCATATCAAGCTACATATTGACGTATCTTGTTCCGTTGCACTGGAGGCGATTTTCGAACATGAATGTGAAGTCTGATGTGCCGTTGTCCGTACACCAACCATGCAAAGTGAATATAGGTACTCTGTGGTGAATATCTTCTGTTTTGTATACAATGTTATTACGTATGCTGATAACATTGATATTGACACCAATGAGTTTTACTTCATTCTGTGCTGGTAAATATCCCAGTGAAACATTGCGGTTTTTGACCGACACCACCAGTTTTCAGAAGAGAATACACTCACTCATTGTGAGGGGGCGTTTATCTAGAAAGATTTTAAGGCACTCGCATTGTTGTCATACCACGATAATTACGAACACATAGAGGATAGTTCCGAGTAGTCTCGGCGTGCAGTAACTTCTCTGACCGCCGTGACGCTGAAAATTGTTTTGTAAAGATGGCTCGGGGATACGATACTTCTGCAATCAGAAATGACATGGAAGTAAGGTGAATGATGTAGAAATGATTGCCTTCCATAATATTTTGAGGTGTAACTCTTACGCTGCCAATAGATTGATGCATGACTGCAGTTAATGCGTGCAGACGTGATCACCGGTAACTGAGACATCAACTGTCTGCAGTCGAAAGTTCAACTTCAAAAGACGGCTGCATTCGATGTGAACGATAGTCCGAGAATCAAAAGTAACACTTGACATCCTTTCTAATTTAATTTTTAACTTGAAACAACCTTAATCTTTAGTAGTAACGGCAAAAAGTAACGATTACTTTACGGTTTAAACCCTATTTTGTATTACCAACGTAATGGTAACGAAAACAAAAACACGATTTATATCATTGGCACATTTCTTAAAATTTATTTTTTGTTATGGCACCTGGATGGCACAAACTACTGGAGGCCTTTACCCAGCATTGAGTGAAGTCGGGCTGTGGATGAAATATCACATTTGTTTACATTTTTGATCGTAAATCTGCAGTGTATAGTCGACATTAAGAAATACTCTGAGCTCCTGAAATACACTGAGTTTCTACTGCATGTAATTGCGGTGTGCACATCACCACAAGATGTTGTTTAAGAAGGCAATGTCAAAAGTAACAAGAATAAAGGAGGTATGTCAATAGACTGATGCAAGAAGAGGAAGCGAAAGAGCTATATCCTGACAGTTCTTTTGCAACGCAGTAACTGTAGGTTTACTACTACTAGCTTTGTACTAGGACAGTGGGAGACAAGCGTAGTAGCATAGTATAATAAGACCAAGGAGGCAACTCCTGCTTGTTCGGCGCGTAAACTTCGCTCGTAGCGTAGGGTTGTTACATTAATATTTTAATTATACCTACAGATTGTAAACGTAATTTGAATAAAATAGGTGTTCATCACAGTATTTTAGTGCTATATTGAAATAACCTTTATTAAATGCAGTATGTAGGTATAGTTGGCGAAATATTATTTGCACCAATTCATCTTATCGCTTCATCTTAGAGTACTACAGGACAAAAGAGTGAGCCGTCTCGGTAATGCACGTGCTGTCTGTATAGTGTTTCAAACGACAGTTTAAACACTTTTACGCTTTACTTTACGCACTTACTATGCGGAACTTTGTTGAATTAGTAAGAAAAAAGTCGGCAATAGGTATTTTATGGAGTACCTAGTAGTTTCAAAAGACGGCCTGATGAGTAATTATATGATTCAAAACTATAATTCAGAAAAAGCATTTAACGCACCCATGACTCGTACAATGGACCAAGATCATTAAGTCCAGTACGTTTTAAGTAAAAGAAGTGTTAATTGTTTTTATTACCCTATTGTAATAGAAAGGATAAGTCGTTCCAAGAGATAATTATTATGGAATATGATTGTGAAATAGAAATGAAATGCTGACCAATTCTGAATTTGAGGCATTCTTTTCTTTCTTTTCAAACTACTAGGAACACAACCATAAACAAGTCTACTATTTGATGCTCGTTTTTGTCGACACGATTATGCGAATGTGTGCATCCGTACACGGCGCGCGGCGGGCGTGCTCACATTCAAGCCCCGCTAGTACGTTTGTATGGAGTGGTAACTTCTCATATTAAACTATGGTAGTAGTTTTTGTATTTTACCAAGAATCAAAACGTCTGAATAGCAAAAGTGAAACAAATGGCCGTTGACACACTAATTCAAACTACAAAGAGTCCATATCTGTTAGTAGACACTTAAAATAAACAACGTACTGAATCTATGTTAGTAACAATGTAAATCGCACACATTATATAAAACAGTAACAATAAATAAACTGCTCGTCTATAAATGTGTACTCTGTAAAAAACACACCCTATTTAGGTTATATAGTTTTAATTTTTTTATTAACTTAGATATTCAAATCTAATCTGCTTTCAATATAACCAAATAATCAAAATAACCAAGATAGCCAAAGTCAACATCTATGTAGACCTATTTAAGTATTTTTCCGTGTGTGTATGTTTGTGCAAATGTGGTTGGTGTCAGTCTTTGTAAAGCTAATAGGATTGCAGGTTAAACTAGGGTCGCGAACAAAAAGTGGAAATTATAGCAAGTTACCTTTTTTTTTGTAGAGACTTGTAGCCAGCAGTTGAACATCAGTGTATAAATGTAGAGGAAGTATATAAGTGGAACGTTTTTCATAGTAATCAATTGGCATTATTTTGTTCACATCTTGTTGGTAAACAACGGGTATTATACTATGTTTGTTTACATTGTTAATAGAGAACGAGTCAAGCGGCGAGCCGGGTTCCGGTCATCGCGGGTCTTTGCGCGGCGCCAACAAGCTGGCGCGGCGCGCGCGCTCGTTCAAGGACGACCTGCTCGAGCGCATCTCCAACATGCGCTCGCCGCAGCAACACCATCCGCCGCATCTCTCCTCTGCCATCAGGTCAGTCAGACAATGCAATAGAGCTATTGTTCATTCATGAAGGAATTACGACTACCTTTCAAAAGATTACAACAATACTCCTTCAATTCGATAGCAGTAGATATTTATTTAAATCGCACCCTAGATATATCTTACATGCGATTTTCGAAAAGTAGTTTTTTATACTTTTTATCTTTATTTTATCTGTTACTTTAAATCTTATAAGCTTGTTCTTTAGAATTCTACAGATTTGTTGTAGTTATCGTACCTTTTGTGTTTTTGAGTCGAAACACTTACAGATATATGTATTTAAGTTCTATCATATTTGACGAACTGTATATACCATGATTTGTATTTAAATAAACAACGAAATACAAGTGATGCTCCTTAGACTAGGAATATCACCCTTATGTTGTTAACAATAAGCATAATTCGCTCAAAACGTTTCGCTTTATTTATGCGAATTATTCTTAATTATTACGTAGTAGTATTTGTATGCTGAAATATGGTGGCGAAAAATCACTTTTTAGGGAAGCGTTCTTGAACAAATTCTGAAACCGTCTTTGAACGCATTGTCACTTTCATCAGATAATGTAAAAACTCAGTGACACGACTTTCCATTAGTCATAACAAATCCGACATACGTAAATCATATTTAAACCCTCGAATCAAAGAAGGATATACCTGCCAACTCTTGTGGGTTCTAATATGAATGTATTTTTGCAATTTCACACTGTTAAATAGCGAGGAATAACTGGAATAGGTTTTTTTAACCGACTTCAAAAAAGGAGGAGGTTCTCAATTCGACTGTATGTTCTTTTTTTTTTGTATATATGTTACGCGATATAACCGGCATTTGTGAACCGATTTTCATGATTCTTTTTTTGTTGGAAAGGGGGTACTTCCATAGAGGTCCCATTTCATTTTGAAGAAAATCATCCACCTCGAAGGGTGGCTGTTCACGCATGAAGATTCATTTTTATAAATGGCGCCTAACTTTAATTTAGGAGCAATTACTTTAATGGTTGATTTTGCTATTTCTTCAATTCAAAGCGTGTTTATCTCAATATACTTTGAGTAGTTTCGTAGTGAGAACTTATTTTTATTGTCTCCAGTGTCAAGTCCTGTATAGTAGCGAACTAGGGGATATTTCAATAAAACTTAGCAAATAGAAGTAATTCCACGTACTTTTGAGGTCGGTTTTTTTTATACTCTGTACTGAGATTATGTAATATCAAGTGACGGAACAAACAAGTCATGCGGCCTGATGGTAAGTTACACGCCTGTCCATAACAGCTGCAGTGCCACTCAGAACTTCAAATTGCAAATTACTGAGGGGCACTACCACTGTGCCCGTCACACCCTGAGGCATTAGTTGACAAGTCTCATGTGCCTGTAATTTCACCAGCACTTTTATCCTTGAAAACCGTAATGCTGATATTACTGCTTGGCGACGGAAATAGGTACGGTGGCAGTACTTCCCTGGACGACTCTTTTACAAGGTGTTCTACTGCTATTAAAAGTATGTAGGAGTAGGTGGTAAAGCTATTTACAGATATCTCTATCGAATTGGACTATTTAGTTGTCTTTAAAATTGTATAATTTTGCGTACTAAACGTTAAAACAGGTAATGGTAACTTTCATAATGGAACATTAGGTAGAGAAAACTATCTATGTTTTTGTTCTTCATATAATTTGTAAATTACGGCACATTTGTTAATTAATTGCTTACCGTTGATGTTAGAAAGTAATTTTGCGTTAAGATACCATGCTACTGTAGTTTAAAATTATATTTTAAGCTGGTGACAATATGTTTAGAGTTCTGAATCGACTGGCAATAATCTCAGTACAGAGTACTAAAGAAACCGACCCCAAAAGCACGTGGAATTACTTCTATTTGCCAAGTTTTATTGAAATCGGTTACCGGAAAGTGCGCAAATCCCGGATTCATCCCCTAGTTCGCTACTATACGGAATTTGACACACGAGATAATAAAAATCGGTTCTCACTACTCAAAGTATATTGAAAGAGAAAAACGCATTGAATTGGAGAATATCAGAATCTATGAATCTTCATGCGTGGACGCCACACTTAAAGATGGATGATTATCTTCAAAATTAAATGGGACCATTATGGAGGTACCCTCTTTCCAACAAAAAAAGAATTATCAAAATCGGTGCACAAATGGCGGAGTTATCGCGTAACATACATACAAAAAAAGACATTAAGTTGAATTGAGAACCTCCTCCTTTTTTTGAAGTCGTTTAAAAATTATATAATAATATTTGTGTTAAAAATGAATAAATTGTGAAGATATGGCTCTATTCAGATGCCGTAAAATAAATATATATAAAAAAAAATATGTTAAATCATTTAATTATAATAATAACGCACACACTCAACATAGCCCCGCACTAGGGAAACCCTGTGTCGCGGGTGCCATGGACACACACATAGATAACCACAAAGTACAACCAAACTCACGAGAGAAATAATGTAGGCCATATTGTAAGTCAATGAGGCCATATAAATATTTCTCCCGGCCCGGGAATCGAACCTGGGACCTCTGCGTGGCAGTCCGGCATGGTAACCGTTCGGGTACGGAGGCAGTTGAACTTATGATTTATCAGAATTTTTGAGTTTTTATTAATATTGCTGTTAATAATAGAAAAATTGAGCTTTTCTGCAAGTCATGACTATATTGCAATAATGGTAATTCAATCTTTCTGTTAACACCAATTGTTATAAAAATTTGTGACGTATTTCTAAAAACGAGGTCGCTTATTTTTTAGTAATTCAATACTGTCATGTCGAAAGTTACTTCTTATTTTGTAATGCAGAAGATTGATGAAAGTTGTTCTAGTTGCATTAATATTTGTATTTCAGTCGTATGTTTACATCAACTGATTTGCGACAATTTCCTAACATAGAGACCAATGTTCGTTAACATTAAATATTCCTTATCATACGTCGTATCGTTATCAGCCCGGTTCTGTATATTACGATGAAATCCACAATATTTATTGTTCCATATCTAAATTGATAATATTTACATGTGTACATAACTTCACTATCTTTACTGTCAACGGCGTAAGAAAGTGTTCCTTTCCTCAGTCTTATCTCGGCCGCTAGTGAAAGAACGTCTTTATTGCGTTAACAATCATTTATTGTTTTTAAAACAGTCACGCAATGTGTATCATCCGTGTTTAAACTTTGTACCGGGAGCTGTTTAGTGACAAAAAGCATTAAAGTAGGCGCTATATTAATGTAGATATTGCTCTAAAAGTAACGGAAATTATGAGTCACTATCACGACCGCGAGTGTCGCTCTCATTAGCGCAGTGACATTGTCCGCTGAAATCTCATTAGTTTAGTGCGTGCACTGTTAAGTGATTACATTCTAAAGCCCGTGTCTGTACTGGCGACATGTCTTAAATTACTCGTTTATTTATTTTGCGACCAACAGAAGTGAGCATTTTAATGCAGCTAACTGAGCTTGTTCGAAAGTTGTTCATTGCGTAGAAGCATTCCGCAAAGTGATTAGTGCGATCGAGTGTTCTTAGTGGTACAGGTGTTTCTAAATGTCGCACGCTGTGCGATCGCCCGTTGGTGACTGGATAAACAAACGTACAAATCAATTTAATTGGAAATTCATTCACAATGGAAAACGGTATGAAATTAAGTGCTTCTACTTTTTATCAGTAATGGGTTGGTGTGAATTAAAGAAATGACTCAGAAACTCAATACGGGCTGACTAGTATGTTTATAGTTTTAATGATTATTTTTTCTTTGTGCTTGCAAGGAAGGTGAACTGGGAACCTCCTACTTGAATAGCAAATAAATTACTCAGCGTTGTAATTCGCGGCGTAGTGTGGGCTCGCATGCAAAGCAGTTTCTTTCGTAACGCGGCACATACCATTGTCAATGAAATTTTTAGAAACAATTTACAGTTTTAATTTGCATGAAATATTTTTAAATATACATGCGTTCCTACTTATCACCATAGTTTATGTAGTATGGAGGACATCCGGGCTAAAGTGAAACGTATATCCATATTTGCGTAATATCCAGAGAGTAGAGCGTTTCGGTGTTAGAAGTTTCAAATTTTCAACTGTGTGTAACACTACGGCACTAAAGTGCTCCTAGAATGCCTTCGTTAACTAAGCCTTTTCATATTATACGGAACTGGGGAAATCTTCCTCTTAACCTCGTGATACCAGTTATATAAATTACAGTTTATTATTTATTACTTAACACTCCTTTTAAGTGTACTTAAGTTCTTAACGTGGTTACATAAATGCGATTTTATTTTGATGTTGTAACGAGAGTCCGTGTGTAATGTCATATTGGCGAAAGTTGAATACATAACGGCTTGTTACTTGTTATACTAAGCCTTACGATTTCAATTCCTTACTAAATCACACTACCAGTAATTTACTTCCTTAAAATTTGTGACTGAAGCACTACTTTTTAAGCTCTAAAGTGTACATGAAAATGATATATGAAGTGATTCAGACCCAAACAATTGCAGTCCTATGATCACGTAAACGCGGGCGTGTCACGTAAATGCGAAATTTAGTGTTATATGTATATTACAATCTTACTGTATATTACAATTACAAAGGGCTTACAGAAAAATATTTAAAAAGTTCCGAATACGTTTTCCATACAAAACTGAACGTGTTTGGGCGTGTTATTAAATTCAGTACATTTTAATGTATATTGGGCATCGATATTGGCCGTTCAGCTCTTGTCCCATAGTAGATTGCTGGGTGTTAGGAGGTGAAATCAAATGGTGCTATTTTTGATTTGTTTGTCTTTGAATAAGAACTAATGTCTGACATTAGTGCTTATTCAGTTTAAGAGCAACCCCTAGAGTTAGTTACTCAGTTACTCATTCTTTTCAGGGAAATCTGCCTTACGAATGAGTAGAGAATTTAATCAGAGTGACGAATTGAAGTGTGTATTCTTTAACCAGGACATAAAGATATTTTTAATTTGAATTTAAATAGGTTTATTATACTTAATTCATTTATTTGTGAAAACACAGGCTATGTAGTAGCTGACATGTACAAAATAAATATAGTTTGACTGTGTCCGGCCAAACATTAGGTACAGAAATATTGAAGCTATGTTATACATTCACTCACATGCACTTCGACAGATTAAACCAGGTTGTAACATGTTTCTTTTTCAATAATATCACATGGGCAATCGGGTAGCAATTTAAACGCGGTGATAGTTATGTGAGGCAATTTATGGTAACCAGATGTCAAAATAAATACACAAAACGTTAAAAATTTGCGAATGAATTTAGGGATTTATCATTTAAAAATTCGGACACTGTATAATACTTTTTATTAGTCAATAACTTGTTTAATTGTTTTTTAAATAGCATAAGGTTTTTCTCAGAATTAGTTCTTTCGGTAAAGTATTGTAAATTTTTGGCGCTATTACAAAAATACTTTTCAGCATGAAGGTAGTTTTACATGTTTTCAAACGAAGTTGGTCGTAACGTCTTAGCTTCAGAGATCGCATGAACGAGTGTGGGTGCATTCGGACGTACACGGCAGTTTCGTGGATATAGAATTTGCAGTATAATATTACTATCAAAGCAAGAAATGACAGTTATTTACCTTTTTTAATAAAAAAAATAAAGTCTATATGCTCTATATCAAGATTTAAAAGCTACTCTTCAAAATACACGAAATTCTCAATTAATACGATTCTTATAACTTTAACTTTTTAATGAAATAGTAGCCGTGTTCAATTTATATTTTATCAACAGAAGTTTGTTGCTTTTAATAGTCTACAAACAACAATGTTATTGAAACTGTTTGTTATATGTTTATTCTGTATGATTAAAAAAGCAATATGTGTGTGTACTCGTATGTACATAGAAATGAATACACGCAGAATTTGTACGTATTCTGTGCAATTGGAGTTCTTTAAAATAGCTTTATTTCGGAATTCAATGACAAAAAATATCACATACTGGCTTTAATACTGGCACATCACGAAAATGGAAAACGTAAAGATGGTTTTTTTAACATCCTTAAGTCAAAACTGATATTAGCTAATCACATTGCTTATTGTTGCCATAATTTTTCTATTTTTTTTAACGAAAATCTCAGCGCCCATATTTAAACAATAAAAGATTGTGATTTTTTACTTATGACATTGTTGATACCGACTTGCAAATGACGTCACACGAGTTATCTCAACAGGCGCAAGCATAGCCGTCGCGCTCGCTAATGCCGTAGCGCCATGCTCGGTTGAAATGATGAAAGTGTCTCTACTGGCGGGTATTGTCTATATAAGTAAAGCTAGGACTGCTGGCCTTATTGTTAAACATCTTGGTTCCATTAAGTACATTTTAATTTATCATTAGCTTCTACACACATCGTCCATGTAGTGTAAACGGAGTAAGCAAAAATTGCTTGTAAAAGAACGACGTTAGGTTGTCTAAGATGACATTAACTGGTAACAGAGTTCCCCGGCTGTGTAGATCATGTTTTTTTAAAGATTCGCTGAACGAACAAATCGTGCGCCTGGTGGTAAGCGAAACGCCTGTTCATAACAGTTGCAATGTCGCTCAGAGCTTTTACTCGCAAAGATCTGAGGTGCACTGCTACTACGCCTGTTACTCTGAGACATAAGAGTCCCATGTGTCTGTAATTTCACCCTTTCCCTTCGGAAATGGAAAGCAATAATGCTCACATTACTGCATGATCACTGTAATAGGTAAGCTGTATTGCTACTACACCTGGGTAGGTTAGGCTACCTGGTACCTACTTATTTCGCCTCGCCTCTTTTGTCCAAAGTTTTGCTGTGTTTTGAATTGAAGGATTGAGTAGCTGAATGCGTTCATACGGATAGGAGACTTATAGTTTTTTGTCTCATAGTCGCGAACGCATTTGCGATGTTAAAAATACTTAATATAGCAAATTGTCTATAGGGTCGGTAGCTCCCATCAGGAGGACAACCTATTTGCCGTTCCAAGAACCATACAAACAATTTGTTTTGTTACGGGTTTTCCTGTAATCATTGTTTGTCTTTTTAACCGACTTCAAAAAAAAAAAGGAGGAGGTCCTCAATTCGACTGTGTGTTTGTTGTGTGTGTATGTTACGTGATAACTCCGCCATTTGTGAACTGATTTTGATAATTATTTTTTGTTAGAAAGAGGGTACCTCCACGGTGGTTCCATTTAATTTTAAAGGAAATCATCCAACTCTAATGGTGGCTGTACACGCATGAAGATTCATTTTAATAAATAGCACCTAAATTTTAAATACTAATTATTTTTAAATATAATTTATTTAATAAATTTTAATAAATAAATAGCAAAATCAATGCTATTCTCCAATTCAAGGCGTTTTTCTCTCGATATTTACTTTGAGCAGTGAGAACCGATTTTTATTATCTCCTGTGTCAAGTTCCGTACAGTGGCGAACTAGGGGATGAATCCGGGTTTGCGCACTTTCCGGCAACCGATTTCAATAAAACTTGGCAAATGGAAGTAATTCTACGTACTTTTAGGGTCGGTTTTTTTAGTACTCTGTACTGAGATTATTTAAAACTTTAAATTTTCTACACATCTCTAACCTCTAATTTCCTCTTTCAGATCGCATTCCCCTCTTAGTCCGAAGCTTCGGAACATGGGGACGAAACCCGTTACTGTGGAGGAGGGGGAAGTCACGCCTGCCAAAGAACTCGAACGGCTAGTCAAAGAGGTCTGTTTAATATCTGTACTATAATCGACCATTGTAGTGTAATCAGAGTGGTTACCATTACTTTGCAACAGAAAGGGATCCTTATAGGACGATAATATTATTGTTTAAAAAGATTTTCTTGGAAAGTAATTAAAAGTATGTATTTTTCTTAACACGCAATATAGGCGCTGCGATGATATATTTTTTTAACTCAAAACACAAAATTATCGTTCAATAGCGTAGTGTTTTGTTTGTAAGAATGAAAGGTTTGCATAACTTGTTTATAATAGTTTTTGCAAAAGTTGTTTTTCATTATTAGAGTCATTATAAGTCCGATTTTTAATTAAATATAACAAACTGACAGCTACTAAAATGGCTTTAAAAAATAAAGTTTGCCATGTATATTGTGAGGTGATGTCACTGAAATGACTGATGTCACTGATCTCACTGGAACGGATGCAGTGAAGAAAAAAACCGTAAAAGATTTTTGACTATTTATCTGCTAATCAATATAGCATGTTGTCTCTCTCTACATACTTCTATCATTTTTCTGTTAATAAATTCTATATTAAAAAAAATGATACCTACAAATAACAAAAAATTTAATTTATGCTGATGACCTACTGAGCCAGTCAATGAATTCGATTCTTTAAGATAACACTATTCTTTTTCATCAAAAACTTTTTCTTCTTTTTATCGCACCGATGGCATACATTATAATGCTTGCCATGGTAGTGAAAGAATTTGCCAATCGGCGTAAGGTACTCGTCGATTGTTGGCTAGAATGCGCCAGACGTACAGGAATGAATATTGTACATTATTACACAATTGTAGACTACGTGTTAGATAAAGATGTATGGAAAGACAACATGAGTCTAGATTCCACATAAATATGATTCAGAATGTATCTTTAGCATTTATGTTTATTTGAAAAGAGCAATCCTTAGAGTTTCTTGCTCGATCTTCTCTGGGAGGTCAGCGTAGTGAACGAGCAGTAGCTTAAAAAATAATGTTTTGAAGTATAAAAAATTTACCTATGAAATTAATGATTATTTGACTTTGACTTTGTACGTCGTGCGGAGTGAATCCTTTCGGGCACCCATTAAACTTCAAGTTTCTTATTATTTCTAATTAAAACCCCGATTGTAGTTATAATTGTGGTACAGATACTTTAGTAATATTAAAAAAATAATTGAAGATAGAAATTAACTGAACCCTTCAAAATTTAATTCAATTTTATTTGCCCAAACATTAATATCACTTGTCAAAGATCAAGCTATAAGGTCGTACTTGTTATTTTCGTTACACTTCGTTCACTCAGACTAACATTCATCTATAAATCAAAACCATTGTTGCTTTAACGATTTTTTATCTATTTCAGGTTACATTCGGATTAAAACACTTCTCAGATGTTATTACAAAAAGGAAGCTGGAAATGCTACCCGATAATGGCACCATTGTGTTTGAATCCATTGCGAATATTCATAAAGGTAATTCACGAAACTATATATATTAGTTTTTGTTATCAAAAAAAGAAAAATAACAGACAATTACTAATAGAAAAAAAATTATAAACATAAATCGACAAGCATTTTATAGTTCAAAATGGATAATTTTATTTGTATATTCGTCGCAACCACAAATGGGAATAGGCAGCGTATATTTACGTAACATTGTAGTAAGAAAGGGGATAATACCTCACAAAACTCAGGAATTATTTAAAATAAAAGGAAAAAATATACAATAATATCGTCATACTTGATATTTTCGTTACATTACACTCACAGACGATTAACTATTCATCATAAATCAAATTCAATTCATGATTTAAAATAAAAGGAAAAGTATACAATATCGTTATATATCTTCACATAAAACGCATTTTTTTATGTACGGTTATAACTATCCCTGCTTACATATTAGAGCCTATGCACAGGGCGTATTTTATACCCGCCAACGGCGTGCGTTTCTTGAATGTGCGTCTACGGCGCCGTAAATGCGTGCCATCTGCGCCGTATTTGCGCCGCAGACGCGCTATAGTGTATCGATTCAAATGCGCGCAAACATCGCGTTGCAAGCAAAAGAAGCTTATGCACTCCACTGGAGTTTACACTTAGCATTTCATGTAGTTGCTTCATTTCAAAAATTAACAGAATTTAACAAGCAGAACTAAAATTCAAGCTACCTCTTATAGAAATGCGCAATACATAACGCGCGACTACAGTGCGACTGCGACGATGACGCGTGACTACAGTGCGGCTGCGGCGATGACGCGTGTTTGCGGCGCGTCGTCGGCGCGTATAAAACGCCATATGTATACGCTCTTATCCCTTTTGTCACATGAATAAATATTTGATATTATTATAAATACAAAGATTGAAAAACACAAAGAAAAAATCCTTCGATCTAACTGACTGAACCAGCATCTTTTGCTGTACCTGGGCCACCGCTTTTACCACCTGAACTACAGATCTAGTCACCTCAGTTCAGTCTCGATCTGTATACATGAGTGTCATGGTAGTAAAAACATCATGATATTCAATAAAATAAATAGGTACATGTTTGATAGTTAGGTTTCATTTGAAAATTTGTTCAAATGATTATACATCGCAATCTTTGCCTTGCAGCTATTAAACCATACTGCGGTAGATCACCGCAACTCATGAGCGCAGTGAAACGCTTATGCAATGCACTAGCGACGCTAATACGGCTATGCGACGAAATAACAGCAGTTAGTTTGCGAGCTGACGCTGGTAACGAGGAAATGGATACTTCTACTGCGGCCTTATCGCCAGAACATGTTAGTTCTGTGGTGAAAGGAGTAACTTCGGCTGTCGAGGAAGTAGCATCGCTGGCACAGCAACATATGACACGACCTGCGTTGTCACCGCGACCTGCACTTGTATCTCCAAGGGCTTCTACACAGAGGAATTCGTTGCCTGGTAAGTTTGATTAGCTCGTCGTCTGTGATTCGAATCGGATCAGTTCGATTACGTAAGCTATTGTCACGTGCTCATACAATCTTGATATAATGGGACTGACGTGAATTAATATAAAGCTGTTCTAAATTGAAGAAATTTAGAAGACTTTGACTACGTATAGATTGACTTAAACTTTCACGATTTTCATACATTATTTGTTTATTGAATCGGGACTTAATCATGTAGGAATAAAAATGTAAATACTTTATTTACCGTGACATAGAGTCCCCGAAACGTCCGTATAAAATATGCTTTTGTACACGATTAAGTCTCGATTTTAAAATAACATAATACGCGTTCATTTAATGTAGATTTTAAGACTTTCGTGGTATTTCATTAATCGCAGGCTTTTTACCACGATATGAGTTCTTTTTGGTTACGGGTTGACTCTTGAGTTGATTCAATTGACCATGGAGCGTGTAACCGTTGCGAAATATCGGGAAAATAGAAAAAAATCATACCGTGGTAAGAAACTTGTAATAAGTGATTATCAATACGTTCTTCCAAGTTAAATATTGATCTTAAAAAATAGTTTTGTTTGAAAACATAATATCATCCTGCTGCACAAGGTTATACTCGTCATGTTGTGTTGACACGTGTGTACAAGAATTTATCATGTGTAAAATGGACTTATGCTACATCGGGAATTGTTACTATAAAATGTTGGTTGAAAATTTTTTTTTTATAATACCAAGTGACGGGACGACCAAGTCGTGCGCCTGGACGTAAGCGACACGCCTATCCATAACAGTTGCAGTGCCATTCAGGGCTTTAAATCGCAAAGATCTTATGGGCACTGCCACTGCGCCCGTCATCTTGAGACAAATTGACAAGTCCCATATGCCTGTAATTTCACCAATACCCTTACCCCTTCCAAACCGGAATGTAGTAATGCTCACATTACTGCTTAGCGGCAGAAATACAGTACTTCCCTGGATTAACTCTTTCACAACGAGCTCTACTGCTACTGAAATATATTAGTAACTTACTCAGTAATTTGCTTCCATTTGCAGATATTCCCCTAACGCCAAAGGAAAGGTCCCTTTTGACTGGAGAAGGCAATAATGAACCTACAGGAGTTCGAGCGTCGCATTCTTCTGAATCTGTTTTGGATGCACCCGACACACCGCCTCCGAAACCTGCTCGACCAAACAGGTATGGATACAAAAGTGAAAATTTATTTGAATCCCACTGGTGTAAAAGCGGATATTATGGAATTTGAACATCAATAGCAAAAGTAGACATAGCAATTTACATTTAAATTTAAAAATAAAATATTTTCTAAAGAAAGCAAAACTGACTGTCGGAAAAGGAAACCGGTTTTCTAGTTTTTTATGGGCGTTGATGTTCGTAATTTAGCGTAAGATATGGCAGGTCGATAGTGAGAGTGTTTATTCGTATGTTACAGGAAAATCGAGTTGGCCCCTCCTTTGCCTCCCAAGCGCAAGTCTGCTAACGACAACTCCCTTTTGGCCCTCTCTATTGACCGGTTAGTTGAGAAAGTTTCTATAAATCTTTAAACATAGCTGTGCGTGTTGTAAACAATCTATCTGTAGCTTGTTACTGAATATCTCCAATGACCAATAAATACAGATTGAATTATTTCATTACATTAGTTGTATTAGGTGGTGTCAATTACAATAAGGGAGAATCTAGTGTAATGAAATTTTTTTCGCGATGCTGTGTCCTTTGAATTGTGTTGATATGGTCACTCTCTAAGCTGTCCAATTGTGTGTATGTAAAATCAAAGTTAATTACAATGGTTTTACTACATCCCGTTTTTGTGATGGAAAGGGAAAATTGTCTTTCTCTTCTAATAGTCAGATAAAATTATTTACGTAGTGGACTTTGAACCTTGTAACCATAGTACCAACATAGTTGCAAGCATTTAGTAGTCTCTAATTGGAGAGTCGACTTGTAACAATACAATTATAATTTAATACGAAAATATATTAAACGTGCTATTATAAAGGCTTAATATTTATTGCAGGTTATCTTTACAATCTCACAGCAGTGGCTCGTTGGATTCTATGCTGAATGTATCGAATGATGAAGAACGTAACGCTCACGAGAACAGTAACAACGATGTGTTTGCGCCGCCTAATTCTGAAACGGGTAAGTTCACACAGTATCACTACGCAAGCGTATACTTCCACTGTAGGTATCCCTTTATTAACAGTACCATATTAAATATTTTGTACCATATTAAATTGCTCGCGAAGCAAAGGTATAAAGTTGTATTATATTGTTCTTTGTTTTTTCTTCCTTTTTTTAAGCCCGTAACAATTAAAGTTCGTTCTGCATGTAAGTTCACAAGAATTCAGAGGTGTTTAATTGTCAATTTTACGCTAATAAAGTTACAAGATAAATTAATAATTAGAGAAAGGATTATGCAAGGGGACTTGTAGATTCGTTAGAAGGAAGCAGATTTCTACTAAATGTGTTTTGTACTCGATTTGGAAAAAATACGTACACGTTACATAAGAAAGTTGTTTTTGACGGCGATATGGCCCGAGTTATCTATTTGTTACATGAAATTTTACTATATCACTCTTTTAGATTACAAATTGTAGTTGGTATGTATATAATAAACCATTGTTCCTAATTTTAACACAATCATCATCATCAATTATGTGGTTTTAAACTAGGGAATTGCCTGTACTGTGAGTGACAGAACAACGAAATTACCTCCATGGACACGGCTGTTTGTTGGTGGTCATACTTAGTCAGCATAGCCCTGTGGGCTAATTTACTTGACTTGACTTAGAGAGACGGTTACAAACATTGTAGTAGAAACGAAAGATTGAATCTTGTGGATACAGTTGTATTTCTAGGTATAACGTTAGATGCTAAATTGCAATGGGGTCCCCATATAAGTAAGTTATCAAAACGGCTCAGCTCTGCAGTGTACGCGATTAAAAAAATAAGGAAACTTTCAGACGTCGAAACCGCTAGATTGGTTTACTTCAGCTACTTTCACAGTCTAATGACATACTGCATTTTGCTTTGGGGTAATGCCGCCGATATCAATAGAATCTTTGTCCTGCAGAAACGTGCAGTTAGGGAAATTTACAATCTGGGCCCCAAAATATCTTTGAGAGATAAGTTTAAGGAAATTAACATTCTTACACTAGCCTCACAGTACATTTATGAAAATGTAATTTATGTTAAAAAGAATATTAATTTCTTTATGAAAAATAGTGACAGACATAACATTAATACGAGGAATAAAAATAAACTAGCTTTTCTTGATAGCCGTCTTCACAAAGTCAAAAAATCATTTAAGGGGCAATGTATACGCTTCTATAACAAGATTCCGGTTGATATACAAACTTGGCCTTTCACGAGGTTTAAAACCATAGTGAAACAAAAACTTTATACTAAAGGTCTATACAACTTCTGCGTACTTGGATGACAAAAATCCGTGGTAGTACCCGTTTAGCTCATGGAGGTAGTCTCGATCTCTGATGTTTCAAATAAAAAAAAAAAAAATATTGTAAATGTTATTTACAAAGAGCAACCCCTAGAGTTTCTTGCTCATTCTTCTCAGGAGAATCTGCCTTACGAATGAGCGGTACAGTTTAACTATTGTGACGATTTCAAGTGTAATAATGCTTACCTATGAAATAAAGATTATTTGAATTTGAGTTAGAAACATCCGTGTCAGGATCAATTTAAAAAACTTCGCTACCCAGATTGGTACTACTGGGAATCGAATCCAGCATCTGATCTAGCGCCCACATTGCAAACTGATTAGCTACTGAGACCGTCAAATAAATGATATTCCTTTCAGGGATAAATTCGCATATTGTAGTACTATAAAGTATTTATATTATATTTATAAATACATGCTTATTCTTTGGTCTCGTTGATGAAATAATTTCGCAATTTCTACTAACTTATCCACATAATAATTTACAAATTACTTGGTTAATGTTCTTTTTGTGTTAATCGTGTTGCTGGTCTTTTTTCCTCAACTTCATACATAAATCACTTTACTATCGTAAAAAATCTGTGTAAACACTCGTCTGTAGTATACTGAAATTATTTTGTGTTGAAAGCTTGATTTACAAACATTAACTAATGCATACCCAATTTCCTTGAAACACTATACATATACTTTGAATCTTAGGTATATGCAACTGCAACAGTTCGAACGAGATACGATCGTCATTGGAGTCGCACGAGTCTCATTTCAACGCGCACACGCCGGCCAACCACAATCGGTATGTCCACCAGTATGTACGCTGAGTTTAATTCTTTATTTTGCTTGTTCTGTTCATTTTAAGTGTTTTAAGCCTCTTACAGAATGACACATGACAATGACAATGACAGTTTAATGTTGCGGTTCCATTAGACCGCGGTTCAAAACGCTACCCGAACACTGATTACTTCATCGCAGGTCGTTACTCTGTAAGAGGTTTTATTTTGTGGAATTGAATCTGAAGATTTCTAACAAATGATAATTTCTCGATTAAATTGGATTTCCAAACGTACTCAACTCTGCAAATAGATGGTTCTTTTATATCTTCACTTTTCTATCTTAGATAAGTCCATTGCCATTTAAAGGTCTTACTGTAATCGTCAATGCTGTATGTTTTGTGCATGTTAATATTGTCATTTATTGTAACGCCCCGGGTCATGGCGAAGCATTGTCCATGATGGACGTTACTCTATCGTGTGTCCTTTTGTTTATCGTTTATAGCTTCTCCAATGAGTCGGGGTTTGTCTCCGTCGGACATGCGGAGATGTCTACAGAACACAGTTTCACATCTTCGTTTTCTTCACACCAGTACACAAGTCATACCGATAGGTATACTTAACTTTTTATTTAAGCACAGACAAGTTAGTTTTGGACCATTCCATGTTGCATTTTAATTTATTTCTTTTAAAAAATTGATATCAAAAGTACATATTAGTGCATTTCAGTGTTCAAAAGTAAATTGTCATTCTTTATTTTGTGTTACACAATCAATAACAATCGTTTACTTGTTTTGTTTCTAATTTGTTTTGGTAAGAGTCACGCAGGAAATGTGTCGTAATGTATTTCGTAAATAATAATCGCCTTAAATTTTAAAGAATTTCGTTGTAGTGGTGAGCATGCAACCGCAGGGCAATTAATTGCGCACTGCGAAGTCTGCTGTGACTCTTAACCCATCACGTTTAAGTTAACGTTTTATTACACAATCAACAAAGGATCTATTCTCATTTTATTTAATTAGAGGTTACAGTGTTACGTGCCGACGTGCTTTATTCGAATTATATACATTTATATATTTATTTTCATTGAAGACAGTGCAACAATATTCAATTTAAACTTTGAATATTTGCCGCGCATATATGTATATCCAAACTTTTTATATTGTTTTTTATACGATAACCATATACAGAGGTAAACCTACACCACTACTCGAATCGTATGGAGCAATTATGCAAATACATTATCTTGCAAGCTCTGAAGATTACAAATTTAATGTCTAATTTAATAAAATGAGAATAACCAATAATTCTTCTATCTACTTATCTGTCTGTTTTCTAAGTGAATGTTTTTCCATGTCTACCAAGCTTTTTGTTATTGTTTTTGCAGCGCTTTTGATACTACAGACTGTGTGAGCGAAATGAAGTGCACCATGCAAAGCTTTGAGAGAAGCATGAATATTTTGAATATGAACAGTGTTGCCACGCACTCTTCTTTAAAGTGAGTGTTCTTGGTTTTATTGCACTTTTATGTACAACCTTAATGGCTAGTTGTTGCACAACACTTGTGCGCTTTGTTATTGCAAATTTAATTTTGGCGACGTCTGTGGTCGAGTAGCTTGCACACCGATTCTCATAGTGTCGTCATCTCCGAGATCCCGGGTTCGATCCCCGATCGGATCAATGTAGAAAAACTTCTCTATACTGTCTCGGGTCTGGGTGTTTGTGATAACGTCGTTGTTTTTTTCCGATTCCCATAACACAAGTGCTTTAGTTACTTACTTTGAGATCGGAGCAATATAATGTGACGTTGTATAATATTTTTTTATATATTCATTATTTCGTGGACGTGAAGATTTATACTTTCTTTAAAAAATATATAATATTTAAAAAAAACAATTAGTTATCAAAAACGAAGTTAGTTTAAAACTGAAATTATGTACAAACAAACAAAACTAAATAACAAAATAAACAAAGTTTGTTTATAATACAAATTAGTTTGATAATTGAAATTATAAACTACTTTTGGGTAAGACCGAACTTTGTTTAAAACTGAAATTATGAACAAACAAACAAAGCAAAATAAACAAAGTTGGTTTATAATACAAATTAGTTTGATAATTGAAATTATAAACTACTTTT